GCTTGTGATTGGGGCCTCAAGAGAAACAGACAAGCAAGTCCTGCTAAGCCTGCGTTCATTCCTCGAGCAAGAAAATCCCATTTCAGCCTATCAGGCAAAGTACACACACTGGAATGCAAACGACACGTCACCGTGCGGCTGGCCCGGGATTCGATGCGATAGCTCGTCCGAACGCGTGACAGCTGTCGACCTCTCGGGCTGCAGCATAGCCGGAAACATCTTCCGGAACTTCTCCGCCTTAACCGAGCTCTCGTACCTCGACCTGTCACAGAACACGATAGGTGGGGCCCTCAATGAGGACTTAAGCCGATGCCTCAATCTGAAGTTCTTGAATTTATCGCATAACATAATGAACGGCGAACTGAACCTCACGGGACTAAGTCACTTGGAAGTTCTTGATTTGTCGGTTAACCGAATGCAGGCCGATATTCGGCTGGCCGTGCCTTTGGACTGCAGCCGTTTAGTGGCTGCGAATATTTCGGATAATAATTTCACAGGCTCGGTCGGGAGAATATTTAAAACGTGCTGGAATTTGAGGTACCTTGACCTCAGCGTGAACCGTTTGACCGGGAATTTATGGGCCGGGCTCGATAAACTGGTTGAGGTTTCGTTATCCGAGAACGAATTTTTCGGTTTGGTGCCTGGGTGGATTTTCTCTAAGAATTGCAGCCTAACGTCTCTCGATTTGTCCGAAAATCAGTTTTCGGGTCGTTTTCCAGCCGAAATTTCGAACTGTATTGATCTGAACGTGCTGAACTTAGGTGGGAACAGGTTTAACGATTCTATTCCGAGAGAAATCGGGTATTTGCCCGGTTTAGAGGCGCTTTACTTGGGCAACAACAGTTTCTCTCGAGAAATCCCCGAGACTCTATTAGGCCTCAGAAAGTTATTGTTTCTTGATTTGAGTCGAAATCGATTCGGAGGAGACGTGCAGCCGATTTTTGGGTTGTTTAAAACGGTGAAGTTTCTTTTATTACACCACAATTCGTACTCGGGAGGTTTGTACACGTCAGGTATTCTCGCTCTCCCGAACGTGTCTCGTCTCGACTTGAGCTTCAACAACTTCACGGGCCCACTTCCCGTCGAGTTTTCCCAAATGCCGAGCCTAAAATTCTTGATTCTCTCGTCCAATCGTTTTAACGGGACCATACCTTCCGAATACGGAAGCTTCCGGAAGATCCAGGCCCTCGACCTCTCGTTCAATAACCTCACGGGCCCAATTCCCCCGAGCCTCGGGCGATTAAAATCTCTCTTGTGGCTTATGCTCGCGAATAATTCGCTCACGGGCGAAATCCCGTGGGAATTGGGCAACTGCAGCAGCTTGCTCTGGCTGAACCTCGCGAACAACGGGCTCTCGGGCCCTATTCCTCGCCAGCTGGCGAGGATCGGTTCTGACCCGATGCCGACTTTTATGGCCAACCGGGCGAACGACGTGATGCCAGCTGGCTCGGGCGAGTGCCTGGCGATGAAGAGATGGATACCGGCCGATTACCCTCCATTTAGCTTCGTTTACGTTCTTCTCACTCGAAAAAAATGCCGGAGTTTGTGGGATAGGATTCTGAAAGGATATGGGCTTTTCTCGATTTGTTTGCCGGGCTCGAACGTTCGGACGAATCAGCTCTCGGGATACATCCAGCTCAGCAGAAATCGATTATCTGGCAAAATCCCGGTCGAGTTAGGCAAGATGTTGAATTTCAGCATGCTGCATTTGGGATTGAATTCATTTCACGGCGAGCTTCCCTCCGAAATCGGACAGCTTCCTCTCGTTGTCCTAAACGTCTCGAGTAACGTTCTCTCGGGCAATATCCCGATTCAGATAGGTAACCTCAAGTGCCTCCAGAATCTCGATTTGTCGAACAATAATTTTTCGGGCCCGTTCCCGAACACCTTGAACAACTTGAACGAACTCATCAAGTTCAACGTATCGTACAATCCTTACGTGTCCGGCGCCATACCCTCGACCGGCCAGCTGGCGACTTTCGACAAGTCGTCGTTTTTTGGTAACCCACTTTTGCGTCTTCCCCCGTTTTTCTTCGAGCCCACGAGTACAACAACGAACCATACGCCGTTTCGAACCGATATCGGGCCGGATAATCCAAGCCCGAGACACGTGGGCCTGTTTATAGCCTCGACTCTCGCGTTCTTGGTTTGCGGGGTACTAACTCTCATCGTTTGGCTAGTCGTAAATAGCCCGACTAGATATTTTATCGAAGATTCGAAAGATTTCGGTTCGAACACGGTCGAAGTCATCCGTCTCGACAAGAAGACGGCGTTCACGCACTCGGACATTCTCGAAGCGACGCGCAACTTTTCGAGCGAGAGGATAATCGGGATGGGCGGCTCGGGGACCGTGTACAGGGGAACCCTGCCAGACGGGCGCCAGGTGGCGGTCAAGAAGCTCCAATCCGAAGGTCTCGAAGGGGAGCGCGAGTTTCGGGCCGAAATGGAAGTCCTAAGCGTAAACGGGCCCCACCCGAACCTCGTGACGCTCTACGGGTGGTGCCTAAACGGGCCCGAGAAGCTTCTCGTTTACGAGTACATGGAAGGGGGGAGTCTCGAGGAGCTCGTGGCCGATTGGGATAGGCTCGACTCGAGTAAGCGTTTGGAAGTGGCGGCTGATGTGGCGCGAGCGCTCGTTTTCCTTCACCACGAGTGCTTCCCGAGCGTCGTGCACCGTGACGTGAAGGCGAGCAATGTGTTGCTGGATAAAAACGGGCGGGCCCGGGTGACGGATTTCGGGCTGGCCCGAATAGTGGATGACGGGGGGAGCCACGTCAGCACGATGGTGGCGGGGACGGTGGGTTACGTGGCGCCGGAGTACGGGCAGACGTGGCGGGCCACGACGAAAGGGGATGTTTATAGTTTCGGTGTGCTGGCGATGGAGCTCGCTACGGGGAGGCGGGCCGTGGACGGTGGGGAAGAGGAGGAGTGTTTGGTGGAGTGGGCCAAAAGGGTTAATGGTGTTGATGGGCTGAAGGTGGGCCTGGGCCCGGAGGATGGGGTGGAGAAGATGGGTGGGCTGCTGAGGGTGGGGATGTGGTGTACGGCGGAGAAGCCGAGTTCGAGGCCCAATATGAAGGAGGTTTTGGCCCTGCTGTATAGGATCTGTTTTGGTGGTACTGTTGATGGTGGTGGCCCTTTGGATGGTATGTGAAGGTTTTGTTTTGTGTGTAGTGCACATGTTTTTTTTTTGGTTTGGGT